GGACGGGTGCAATATTATTGCACCCGTCCACTTTGTTTTAAGAGAAAAGCCATGTACATGCACCTAGGGCAGCACCGATACGTCTACACAAAACGCGATGGGGAACCCTCCATGAGCTGATGATTGCATGTGACTTCAACCTATCAACGCATCATCGCAATCGAGTATCGTTATTCACTTTTACGTGCAGTAAGGCTACGGAGGACTGAAAGACCCTCCCATAATCTAAGCGCCCTTCGGAAACGCCCTATACTCTTTGCTCATCGCCATTGCTATCACACCATCTCCCATGCTGAACCGCGTCTCTTGCGGAACGAATGATCCAACCGCCCTCGAAAACGTATTCATGAATCCTGGAGTGATGTTGGCCTTGCCATCATAAAGCGCTTGCAATGCCTCTGCCACGCACTGGTCTGCGTCCATGGCGAGGGAGCCAGCTTTAGAGAAACCCATGCTATTCGAACGGAGGCCCTCGTTCATCTCTGTGCGAACCACGCCCGGCGCCAAAGTTATGACGTCGACGCCGAGCTCCTTCATCTCTTGTATCAACGGCACATACTGAGTGTGCTACGCCATCCTCACTACTGTATCCACAATTGGCTTTATGAAGGGGTCGTTTCTATTGTCCAGTTTGGTACAGTGCGGCATAGTGGAGAGTACAGTACTGTACAGATTACTGTACCCTCAGGGTATGCCGGAGAGAGCAGAAACTTTGTTTTTTTTTCAGCATCTGCTGTTACGAGGACGTTGCATGTGTATATGTACACAAACATGTCCCCTGCATGGTGCTCGATCTTCTTGATCTGCTTGTTCTGGAGGCTGCTGTACACACATTTGTGCGATCGCGTTTGGAGCCCCGTCACAAATAGACCATTCCGTTTGCGCTCTGAGCTTAACCATGTTCGACCGCTAGCAACAAAAGCCCCATTACACCCACACCGCAACAGTTCAACACCATCCACCCCTGCGGCGGTCGTCATCACACAAAAATATTCAAGTCTCTCGTCGGCAGCCCGCTTCGTAAATTACCCTTAAATTATTTTTGACGCATCGCTCTGCTGTACCCAAGGGTACAGTATCTGCCGTCATCTCCCCCAGCCTTACTCTCACCCGCTGTACACCTGTCATCTCAAAAACCTCAACAGCGTCTTCTCTTTTCCCTTTCCTACAAGCCCCCGCCACTTCGGGCACACGCTCTCCAATCGATACGGCTTCAAGTTTCCCGTCGACCACCGCGCCAAGCGAGGGCGTGAGGGAGGGCGCAGAAAAACGTCCAGCATTCGCCCGCCCGAGAAAACCCACCCTGACCGCGCTGAAGCATGCCACCCCCGCCACCATCACCTCACGCCCTGCTCCACGCCCTCGCCTTCGCGACTGTCTCCGCGCGTCCCCTCAGCCGAACTTGCTTCCCGGCGCCGCGCGCCCTTTGTCAGGTCAAAACCACCCAAATCGTTACGCAACCCAACCGACGCTTAGCTCAGCCGTCTTTCGGAGTACCAGCCTGGAAAGCAACCATGGGCACACCTTCCGCAGTCGTAGAGGAGCTGCAACTGCACGCGTCGGACGGCGCTACCGTCGCCGCGTTTCTTGTTCGATCGCAGCCGCACCGCCCATCACGCACCGCCGTCGTTCTCATGACCGACATTCTTGGCTACGAGAATCACGAAACTAGGGCCGTAGCGATGTTGCTTGCGGCGCACGGGTTTACTACGAGTAAGTCAGTCGCTTTCCGCTCACCCTATGTCCGCACTGTCTTCTGTCTTCCTCATCTGAATTATCTCATTGTTTATACTTGCGTTTCTCTTTTCTTCGCCCCACTGTGCATCGCACCAAGTCGTCCCAGACCTGTTCCGCGGGAACCCCTGGGTACAGGGCCGTGACAAGTCCGAGTACGAATCCTGGAGGAGGACGCACGACCCTGCCACTGTGCGAGGAGACATACTGCTCGCGCGACAGGCTCTGACGGAGCGATCCCTGGGCACATCTCTCGGTCTTGTTGGTTTTTGCTTCGGAGGCGGCCGTCTCATGGAGGAGGTTGCTCTCAATACCAGCGGTCTCAACCCAGACGCGGCTGTGGCGTTCTATCCAACACGTGAGTATCGGCAGCATCTGTGCGAGCGAACCTGACCTATACCACGGAAGCCTCTGACAACTCCCTACCTACCCGGCCTTGTTTCTGTTCTTATATGCCTAGGTTTCGATCCGGAGGATGTTGGCCGCAATGCTCATTGTCCCCTTCTCGTGCAAACCGGTGACCGCGATGATTTAGTCCCGGTGTATGTGGTAAACACCCTTCGCGAGACGCTCCAGGCCAATGCTTCTGTGAAGGAGTGGAACGTAGAAGTGTATGAGGGCTTCGGCCATGCGTTTGCTCACCACCCAAGCAGCGAAGCAGACAAAGCGCAGTCTGAGGTTGCATTCGCCAGGGCTCTGGCATGGCTCAAACGTCATCTGTAGGCTAAATCCGTCAACGTCTGGCCCAGGATGATTCATTTACAAATGCTACACAACGCAATCTGCTACTGCCGGATGACATCGTTATCTTGCGGGTTTCTTCTTAGGTAGACGGGGATGTATGAGCACGTGGGGATCGCCTGGAACCCCTTCTCACGTACTGTTGCGAGAGCGAATTTCACGAGCTTGCCGGCGACCCCTCGGCCGCGCATGGACTCCGGCACTCTAGTGCTGTACATGTCAAACACCGTCGCCCCGTCTATCTCCTGCACTCTGTATCGCAAAACGGCTGGCTCGTCAATGCCCTCAAAAGCAAGGACGAAACGGTTCTGCGCTTCCCGATGCTCGACCTCCATGGTCGCGCTTGCAGAGATTCCGCGAGTGGACACGCTGCGTCGAACAGAAGGGGCCGGCTGCTTCAAGATGACGGACGGTCGCGAGTAGATGAACGGATTTTCGAACGGCGCGTTCTTGCACAGACTCGAGGTAAACGGAAGCTGGTTTCTTTGTTGCCGATGAGCAGCGAACCTACAGAATGTGCATAAGAACCTCAGCTGCGCAATTGGGTTAAAATACAAAAAGCGGCTATCATCAGAGGCTTGATTCAACGGAAAGAATAAAGAGGCCGCTGGATTGCGCATACCCTACCTGTGTCCTTGATGTGACGAATGCAACGCTGTGTCGCATCAAACTGCTTCGTGTGTACCCTTCGAAGGGTACATCGAGAAAATGTGCCGCTGTACAGACTCCAGATTCCACCCGCAAGGCTAAGAGGACCTTACGCTAAAATCGCAGACTTCTGCAATACGTGTAACATCTGTAAATTAAAATTTGCAGCATTCTGCATTGCGGTTGTGACAATAATTGTGGCAACTGCGATTCTTGTGAGCAAACATCTACTCAGTTCGGGCCAAATGTACTCACCTTCATCTCCGTCTCCATCACAGCCACCATCAGAACCCTTACTGAAATGTCCGAAGTCATTGCCTCTTCCCCTACGGCGCCTCTCGAGGATGTCGGCTCGGCATGGGCAAAAGCAAGGCCGGGCAATAATCGTGATTTCTTCGGCAGAGAACCTCGTCCCAGTGCGAGGGAGAGGTGTCGACCGCCAGCGCCCACCTTGTAGTGTTTGGTGAGACTCGGCGTAGATTTGAGGAAGCGGCAGGTATGATGAACACCAATGCGGCGATGCATTTGGCCACCCCATTGCATGCAGCGTTTTTATAAAATCAGTTTTATTGAAACGAAAGTAAAACAAAATCCGAATCGTTAAAGGATTTAAAGTTGAAAGAATCTCGCGAAGAATTGATGCGATTGCTTCTTTAGACGATTTTAGTCAGTCTGGTTTGCTTCCCTTTAAGCTTAAAAGCTATAAACAGTATGCAAGTCGAGTCTGAGAAAATGAATGTAGGATGTTGTTGACAGCGTTTGGTGAGGGAACATACCGCATATGCTGAAGTGACTTCCCTGTTTAGCACTAGCTTTTTCGTGTTATCTTGGTGCCTACCATTGCTTATGGTAGTAGATTCGCATGTGGACGGTTGGGTTGGGTTGGGCTACAGGCAATACTCACAGCTCTATTTTATTCAGGGCCTCCTTTAAGACAGCATGGACAGCCATGTTTGGATGTATATGTTTGCGATTTTCAAAATATTACATGTCCAATAATTTAATGTATTGTGTCAGCGCGCCGTGATCCGTAAATTGGCTCAAGGGGTGCATCATACCGGGCTATCGATAGGGAAGCGAACGGTCTTTCTGAGCAGTGATGCAAGGAAGTGGCTGCAAAAAAGCTGCAAATCTCATTATCTTACAGTTCCTGGTTCGATATAGTGCCGTTTTCGGCCCACTGACAGAGGGAGGCACTATATCGCGATCCCCGTGTACTGGCATTCAGGGACGTCAATAAAATGATTCAATTGAATTTTAATGTATGCTAAATTGGATCAAGATTGAATTCAATCGCACTTATGCGGTAGGCGACAGCCAATGGTGTGCTCTCGTATGGCACGTTGGTAGCGACAGATTCCATTATTTTAACTTTGTGTGCGCCATCATACTGTTAAGAAAAGTATTAAATGGACCAATCAGGTGCACGCTGACGTCCATACATGTCCAAACATGCCCGTCCATGCTGTCTTAAAGGAGGCCCTCAGTACGCACACTTCATAGCGTAAATTACGTCCAAAAATTTTGCAATTAAAGTTTCGATTCAGAATTCTGCACTTGTCATGGACACTTTCTCACAAGGCAATCGCAGAATTCCTTCAGGGGTAAACCCTAAAACGAAATCTTTCGGGTTTGGCTCCGCTCGATGGCTTTGGCCTACTAGAACCCAAACGGCTGCGCCTCTGACGCCGTCACCTGAAGTTGGCATCAGAGAGTAGCAGCAACTGCTGAGAAGTCGCAATCTCACGGCTGTCCCTCTGTGACACTGCAAAGGCCGTGGAATTTGTGGACTGGTTTTTGCAAAACATAGACTTCTCTGTTGAACAAACGCTGATGTGTTCTGACACGCCACTCAGTTGTAGTTTTCTTCGGCAAATCCTCTTAGATCCATGACTATATTTTGCGCGAGTGGTGAATATGGTTTACGTATCTCTGATCAACATAGGCTACCGATCTCAGCGGTTTCTGTGCTTCCTGGACTCCAACTTTCGCGATTCACTCTTCCGAGAATCAGAAAAGATCTTAACCAGTTTGTCCATAAACGAGGGTGTTTCACTGGACACTGACTCGAAAAGCTCCGCCTCTTCAGCCGACTGAACTGCGGCGAGCTTGCGCACTTGAACGGCGTCCAGGGCAACTCGGTTTTCGGTTTGAGGACGTTGCGGAGGAGGGGGCGGAGCTGCCTGTGTTACTTGTGATACCTGTGGCGTTTCTTCAATTCTTGGTGCTTGTTGGATTGGCACAGGGCGTGGTGTCGTCGGTTTCTCTGTCATGCAGCATAAAGCATCATAAAGCTCTTCCAGGACTCGGACCTTGGCCATGAGGTTCTCAGGCTTCTCCGCGACTTCGTGACGCAGCTTCATAAGATGCTTCATGTTTTGCTCTTCATAAATCTGCGGTGCCTGAAAAGAGTATACGGGGGGCTCCTCGGAATCCAGCCGCGTCATCCTGCTTCCTTTAGGCACATCCATGATGTGTGTTGTCACAGTCCTCACTGCGTTGTCAATATATCGAGCCTCGGCAATCGGTAGATAAGCTCTAAGATTAGAAACATATGCATCCCTGTTCCCATCCATGTCCTTCCCCAACCCCGGCAGATTTTGAATCGCATTAATTTCCTGCTCAAAGAACTTGTTCAGCGTATCTGGGCGAACAATTTCGTCGACGTAGTGCCATGAAAGTCTGTTCTGAGCCTTCTTGCGCTGCTCTTCGATCATGCTCGCCAAATACTTGTTCAGTCTTCTTGGCAAATTCTCGTATTTGCTTGCTTTCACTCGCACAAGCACATCGAGGCACGCAATCGCTGGATGATAGAAACCACGTGAGAAAATACGAGTTAGAGGTCACTGTCTAGAGCACACTCAAAGAGCGTTTCGTTCATTGGTAAGCACTTACCAGCATCTGCAATATCATTGCACATCCTTTCGGAGATTGTCCGCCATTTCTTTGCACATGTCCGAACTTCCTCAAAAAGCACCTCCGGAATCGGCATCGTCCTGAATTTTGGTTCGAAAAAAAGAACGTCAACGCTGGTTAGAAACGAAAATGCTTCGGTCACGTGACTCGAAGACCATATTGAATTAACGTACGACTGAAATTTTCCATTCACGGCCTCCGCCACTTTTTCTCCAAGACTGGATAAGTACTTCTCATCGCTAAGAGGCAGTCGTGCTTCCATGATTTGTTCTGCAAAGGACTCGCACAGCTGAGTGCGTATGAACGCAAGCTTGCATTTTTCCAGCTCATCTACCTGTACATCATCCTGAATGTCTTCAATCTCATCTTTCAGGCGCCCGTAATTGCCCTCTGCGACCTGTATGTAGTACTCCTTGATGTCCTATGAACCATAACAAAAGTTATTTGGAGTGAAGATGTTAGTCCTTCGCGTGCTTTCTTGCAGATGCTGACTTTCGCTATCGAGGAAAGAAATGTCGCGTACTTACCTCAATAATTGTCCTGCATCGAATGCTAAGACTGTTCCTGGCAGATGGTCGGTCTTGAAGTCTCAGCTCCTTTCTCGCATCCACGAGCGCTATCTCCGTCTGTGATAACATTGTCGGGACCTTGTGTGAGATCTTTTCCGCCAGCAAACTGCAGGAAGAGAACGATTGTATTCGGAAAAGATACAGTTAGATATCATATATTATCGCAATAGCCGTCACTCGAACTTGAATATGAAGTCTCGTACCTCGATAACTTTTGAACAAGGTTCCGGGTACCACAGCGATGTGCTATGTCCGCATGGTTGTAAGGTGCATGCTTTGCAAAGAACTTTTCCTCGTACTCGCGATCGCGAACCATTCGTGCCATAAAGTTGGACTGAGAAGATTCAGAACCTCCGTTATTGACAACAGCGTACCATCCATGAGGTGCCGCAGAGAAAGGTCCTTTGTTGCTCAGTATTTCTTCTATGTCATGAGGAGCCACTTGAGTGCCTGGGCCACCGCCTACCAGATCGCACTATCGGTCATACAATTGGTACAATAGAAGGTCAGTCGCCGTGAGCATTCTCTTTCGAAATATGGAGGAAAACGCAGTGAGATTGAAGAGTTGCTAGAAACGTTTGGGGAAAATATAAGGACGTACCTTCGTGAAACAGTAAATCGTCCTAGCGTGCAGTTTGACTCGTTCAGAAGCGGGAAGATCTTCCTCATACTCCTTCAAAATATTGAAGATGTTGACGGTTTTGACAAGTTGATTCGCTGGAACGACGACGAGAACGATGGTGTTCTCATCTCTTAGGTACGTGAGGAGAGACTCTTTGACACGATCAACCTCCCCCTTGCTGGTTGCCTTGTCGAGCCCTTCGTGTGTGAAATACCCTGGTAAGTCGACTAAGATGAGATCCAAAGCATCTTCAGACGCTAAACTGACTGTCACAGGCTCAGTCGAAAAGCTCTTATCACCTTCTTGCAAAAGCTTCTTTTGCATATCAGCAATGACAGTGGCAACGTCTTCGGGTTTTCTAACCATTGTCTCATTCTTCCTATCCGCCGATTCATATCCAGCCCAAACAGAGCCAGACCACTTCGCTCCCGGCTTGCGCTGCATCCGTAGTAATGTAGGGCAGCGAGTGACTGTCTGATGACCCCGAGGAAACGGGATTTTGCATATTGCCTCAAGCATAGAACTCTTGCCGGTACTCTCATCCCCGAAAACGGCGATACGTGGAAAGTCAATGTCTTGTCGCCCAAGAAGGGCTTCCGCGTTTGTGATCGCCTCTAGAACTCGTCCCGTATTCTCTTGCAGCAGGCCATGCTGAGCTCTCATGTTTGACTTCGAGTTGAAGGAGTTGAGGAAGACAACCCAAGTGAGCGTGAAGAGTATGTCGTGAAACTTTTCGCCGTTCAGTTTCTGGATGAAGGCAATATCCAGAGTAGCCTGGTCGCGTGAAACGCAGAAAGGGTCTGACAACGAAGCAGTGCGACAAAACAGAAATGGCTTGTGTTTGGCGGAGTCTGGGATTTCAGGGCCTCAATACTCCTCTGCCCTGGTTGGTGCACCAGCTGATTTCGGGGTTTGGATTGCTGGAACAAGTTTAGGAGTGCAACTGAGAGGTACGGAACGGAACTAGAGAGGCCACTAGGCTAGGCGTGTGACGCTGCTCGGAGGGTATCGAGGCAGGATCTGCCAGAAATTTGATGGAAGAGAGAGAGAAAAGGGTAAATTACTGGTTAAAACGACTCGTGGTGTACAAAACTTGCCAGGTATCTGCGAAGTGTCGTGGAATAGGGGGCGGTTGTTGGAGCTACTTTCAGCGAGGAAGAAACAAACTAGAACGATGCTTGTTGTGGACAACTCAAGGTGGATACCACTGAATACACCACGTGGTAAAGCAGGCTGTATGCAGCCTATCGCATGTATGGAGAGCCATAGATATGGAACGCAAAGGTCGCGGTCTGGGGCCTGCTCCGGGTGGACTGCGATACAGCCACTGCGGAAAATGATGGTCTTGCTAGCGTTCAATGAGCAATGACAGTTTCCTCTTCGCCCGGCGAGTGGGTGTGATGTCGGGAAGCCGAAAAGGATAGGAGACGTGGATACAGCAGCTTTACTCGTGCTGTAACGATATATGGGATGCTGTAGCAAAAGTGATATGCCTCAGAACCTTCGAAAAAATTATTACCAAACAGCTAAATGCGTCAATGAGTCGAAGTCACCGAGTCGACCTTTGGCATTTCCAGGTGCAACCTTTCCACAAGGAGACAAACACTTGGCTAACAATCATTTTCAGCCATCAACATCTTCAACCGACTATTTTTGTCTCTGTTGAGGCCAGTTGTTGCTTATTAGGGATGATTTTCAACCAATGTCCCTCACTACAGAAACAACCTACCTTCGAGTGTACAATTCGTTTAAGCATAAATCATATTTTGTACAATATCCTGATGATGCAGCCGGCTAGCGACTGATTCGAGCATTTTTTGAATAATGGTACAGTGCAGTACTTTGGAGATGGCTCAAACCGTCTTACAACACATGGGAATTCCGGCAGTAGTACGGCTTCCCACCCTCTTTGAACATCGAGTTTATCACTAGACTCATGCGATTGAAAGACATCTCGCCCACTCGCGTTAATCCCTACTCTACAGAATCCCATGCTCAAATTCCATTACATCACCTCACTTCACAGAGCTTACAAGTCTTCATGGAACAATCTCAAGTCCGAGCGTTGGTGCCATCGGAGACTGGCGTCCTAGGTTCTCAGCACGGCTCCCTTGCCCCGCTTTGGACGGTGTCGTTCACTCTATGTAAGCTTCGCGTACTTAAACGGAAGGTGTGTTACGGAATCTGTCAAGAGGACGAGCTGTATCATGCAATTATTGAGGGTGCAGAAAAGTGCCATCTGCTGCCAAAATGGGATGGACAAAGTGAGACAAACAACGCGCAAAACGTGGATTGTGTTTCTTTGTGGTCATCAAATTTGCGGCCCTTGCGAGACATGAACCATTCCCGCGCAACAAATCTCTTCCACCAAAAATACAAACATCGATCATCTGGCGCTTTTCCGCCGGCATATCCCTCTGCATCTTCTCTGCCTCTTCTTTCCTGCTGCTCCACTTTACGATCGTTCACGTGCAAGAAGCGGCATTGGAAGCAAGTGAATAGAAGTGAGCAAAGTGCTTCCAAAGACTGATTAGGACCTGTGCTTTTCCATCACACTTGTACTGTACCACACATCTAGTCACTTTGAAGTCATTGGAGTACAGCAAACATATCAGTTGTGTATTATTCTCACGAGAGGATTAATTCCCTGTGCGTGATGTCGACTCTCAAGCCGTCGACAGATTCATAATCTCAATCAAGTGCTTCAAAGCTATAATATGGTCTTTCCGCACCGTATCTACCCGACGCGGGGCGGCTGCCACTGAACTTGGATATACTGCGCAGTGCTTCTAAAGCGCCCTTCGCGGAGAGCAAGAAAGTCATAGTGACACTAGCTTTCGCCTCACGATGATGCATGAAACGCATGGCCAAAGTCAGGCTTCACCAGAAAACAAGACGTTTCCTTCTCGTTAACAAGCAAACGGCCTTGAAGTTCGTTCCCAGCCAGTCACAAGAACTTTGATTCGTATGGTGCATTTTGAGTATCGAGAGTATTGGCCTTCGAGGTTAACAGGCACTACGAGCTAGTGACTGTACTTGTGCAACTTGTAACTGTGCAACTCACATGCCAACGACATCATGAATGCGGTGGGGGAAAGTGCGACTACCTCTCCCTCACAGGGGTTGCATATCGCATGCCGCTGTGGCAATACTTACATCAGTGAGTTGAACGACAATTGACAGGAGGCTCGCAGCAGCATATGTAAACGTTCCATTTAAGGCATTTCTAAGATTCTTGTTGGCACAATTTTTGTAAAACGTATGTTACTGTCAACAAGAGAAAACTAACATTTGCAAAGATACAGCAACGAACGACAATTCACATTCTTGTCTACTTTGTCTACAGTATTTGAATGAGTGCAACATGAAACACGTCCAAGGTGTGGTCTATGAATGCAAACCATTAACTGTACAGTTTAAAATATAATTGTATAATCGTTGTGCAGTGGATTAATGTGTTGGGAGCGATTCATCTTCGCAAATCACTGATGGACCACAAGCCTCGAACTCCAAAATCGATGAGAGATTCAGGACTCCTTGCTGCGGTGACTTGACATCGCACTGTGCTGACTCTATTCCTCTTCCGCCTCGGGGTATCGTGTACGGTACACTATTGTACATTATGTACATACAGCACTGAACTGCAACTCACTTGCGGGTGATAAATAAAATTACGGACGCAGGAATTAAGTTACGGATCGAAAGGGTCTATTGCGAGGTCCACTAAAACGTTCCACGATTGTACGGTCTCCCAAATTCAAGAGATGTTGCGAAATGGGAAAATTGACGATCGATGCTGCTTTAGTTGCAGCAGGACAAATGTAGCGTGCCACTCTGCTTTTGTGATCGGCCAAAGGCTGTTCTTTGACCCAGTACTGGCCTACAGTCCCACAATAGAAAATGTTGCTGATTCATTCGCTTTGACGAATGTAGTTATACAGCACGTAGAGCAGAGCTTATGAGATCAAGTCCCATCTGCAGGAGTGCTAAAGTTCTTTACGTGGGCCATTTACGTACGCTACGGAGAATTGTGCCGCTTCATTCACCTTCTCGCATTCAGAAAGTCCAAAAATAACATTTGTACGGTACTTTGCAAAAAGTGCAATAGTGCAGTTGCTCAGTCTCTGTCAGCACCATCTGAGGCATAAACATGTTGAGTGCGGTGAGTCCTTAGACATGACTTTGGCCTACAGTACTCCGAAGGGCACGCATTTACACTTGTAAGTACATGTACTCACCATGACCCAGGATCATCGGCACCATCTGACACCAGATGATCCTGGGCGGGTGTCAACACCCGCCCATACGAAGCTGTGGGTGGCTTGTCGCCATGCACACCCGACAACTACGGTATCAGACTATTAGACGCTTCGGAACGGAAGGGAGCGGAACAGGGGAGCTATGTCAGACCTTGTCTCGATCTTCGAAGGGAGGGAAAGAAACAGAGGAACAACATCTTTTGAGGGCTGCAAAGGCACCCTCAGTCTCCGCCTGTCGGGCCCGTGAGCGTGGACAGCGATGCAACCAAAGATGAGTGCCACAGTGTAATTTCAAAATCAATTGCCTCTCTGCCGGAGAGGCAATTGATTTTGAAATTACACGGCAGAGACTCTCTGCAGTACTGTACAAGGGTACTGCTGGTCCCGCCACGCTTCCGAATCTGAAACGTAGCACACGTTGACGACTTGCGAGAGATGCATAATACTGTAGCGGCGAATCAAGCGTGGAAATGGCAGAGAGCTTTGCGAAGACGTCGCTTTTACGCTTTGAAGAGTTTAGCTGCAGAGTGAGCGGAAAAAGGGACAAATAGAACAGGGAGGCATTAAGAATCTGATCATCAGCAAAGGTTTGATTCCTGACTTGTGAGAAGCACATGTGGAGGTGAGTGAGTCACGGGAAGTCAATACCCCACAGTATGCACGCGCGGCATCTTTATATACGTTTGCCGCACTGTTAGCCAAACAAAGGCGTCTACATCTCTAGTACTGATATCGATCCTCTCCGGCTCGCTGCTGAAACTTCCGTCTCGTCACGAGCTCTAACAGTGCAGCCCACGTGGTAGGAGAAGGACTCCAGTTCAATTCGGTGCAGTACGAAGGCTAAATTACTGTAGTGGGACTGGTAGTCGCACCACGGAGGCGTCATGATTATGATACAGGGGGGGGCTCTTCAATAGTTCGCACTTGAATAGTTCGTTACGCCAATAGTTCGCATTTATGACGTTGTCACGGTTTCTCAGACGTGTACACGTGTACCATATTCAGACCGGTGCGGCCGCCACTGTCCTCCCTTAAATTGTTCATGCTCCAAGAGCACGAGTATAATCTCTTCTTCATCCCGCCCCGCAGCCGTCCACATTGCGCGCAATGACGTTGAACTCCGCACCCACGGTCAAAAGCGTGCGCAAAAGATTGGCTCTCTCCGAAAAAGCAGATATTATTCACCAGCTCTGTAATGGGTTCACCGTGAGAGATGCAGCAACTCGTTTCGGTTGCAATCCGCGAACAATTCAAAAGATACGTAAGAATTCTGTACGAATTCTCAATTGTTACTGAGAAACTGCCGCCACTGTCCGATGTTGCCCAGATATTTGGGGGGGTGGAGGCTTTGGCGGAAAGGGCAAGTGTCGTTGGGGCCAGCGAGGGGCTTCGTCGGGCAAAGCGAGCCTTGTACCGAGAGCAGACGAGATAGAGAACATGGCAGACGCTCATTTTCGAGCATTTTGAGTAAAGGACCTATGCCAGCAATGCGATCTTAGTAGTTCGTTCTGTCAATAGTTCGCTTTTTTGGGTCCTGGCAGGGGGGTGAACTATTGAGGGGTGCCTACTGTACGTGCAAGAGGGGAAAATATGTTACGGGTGGCCACGTGTTGCCACGTGGTCTGCATGACAACAATGCAGCAAACGGGGTACAGTAGCAATCGTGCTGCACGCGTAGTGTGACGCCTGGTGTGCAGTAGCCACTACCGTACGGCATTTATAAGAGCGAGCATTCATTCAAGATGGCGTAAACTAACTTAACACCTAAGGCAAGCTAATGCAGTCAGACTCGTTAGTGGGAGGGTAACTCGCTGATGCTTTGATAAATCAAAAGGTGCAAAGCTGCACCAGCGTTGGATTGCGCCCCTATCTTTGTTTTCATTGCACAGTACGACCTGTCGGCAGTCTCGTATCTCTGACTACCTTCTCACCCGACCTTCGTGGCTTCGAAGGCAGGGAAAAGCTGTTCGTTGTTTCAATTTGTTTCAGTTGTATCATCCTCCTGCTTTTCGCCTGGAAGTACAGTACAGCTATTTCAGGCAATTGCTTCCGGAGTGCTTCTTTGTGGTGCAATGCATTGCAACACATGGCTTCTGTATCACCGTCAAAGGGAAATTCCTTTCGGCCACAGTACTTTGCAGTGAACTAATCAAGTGAGATCTTGTCCTTGAAAAGTCGCAATCACCCGGCAGATTATGTCATTTGCCCATGAACGACAGATCCATTTTCTATCTCTCGAGATCATCAGTTTTAGTAGACGGGGTATAGAATCAGTGATTCGTTTTCAATCCCCACGGCGCCAACATATTGCCCGTTTCGCCTTTTTTTCCCTCGTGGATACATTCAGTATCTGCGTTTTATTGCGCCCCCCTAGATAAACAGAAGCGAGATGGACTTCAAAAAGCACTGGCCCAAATTGTTCCGCCCTCTTTAACCGAAGCCCCAACACGGGCTGCTGGATACTCCTCTCTGATTGAAGACCATACCATGGGCCCTATTTCCCTTACATATGTAAAAAACATATATATATTCGGATGCTAGGAAGTGACCCTTTCGACACAAGGGCCCAACAAAGCTGCTCTTTAGTAAGTACAACCAGTAGTTTATGCATGTTCCATGAGTTTGATAATACCTCCTCGCTCAACTGTATGACACAATTCGTCTATCTCACACCTGCAGCCACGCGCATGTCGGACGTGTGGCCAACGTTGAGGTCCGGCCCATGTCCTCCTAATGCGACTTCATAAATACTGTCCCAGTAGACTGCTGCCTTCACACATTTAACCATGTTCGTTGCTTTGGCCAAGTGCCCAAGGATAGGCCCTTTTTTGACATCCTTCACTATGTTGCTTTTCACAACTGCCATCACCTCAGTGACACCCGGTACCAACTACTCTCAGCACTCCCTTTCTGAGGAGATTTTGGAAGAAACCCCTCCTAAAGCGAAATTCTCGCATCCTGACCATCCATCTGTTCCCCAAATCTTCGTCCATTCGGACACAGAGGAAGGACGAAGCCCTTTCCGTGCTCCATACCCTCAAAAAATCCTGTCTTACCTTTAGGGCTTACTTTTCACATCTGACTGATATCGTCTTTCTTTTTTCTTAACACCCGGTGCCTCAACTGTTGAGAAATGCGGTACGTCTGGTCGGCAGTAATTTTCTGTGTTTCTTTAGCACTGCTTTCGGTGCTTGCATCAAGTGAAACAACTGAAAAGCCGGATCACAGGGCTCATTCTGTTCCCGGCTGGGACCAAACTGTGCGCGATGAAGATGGAGATGGTTTCGCGGAGGTGACTCTCAACGGGGAGCTCTCTCATACACATTACTTCGTCCCCGGTCCTCCAGCTGTAGTCGGCAGATTAGTCTCGTACGAATGGAAGGAGAACAACCTCGGAGCAATAATTGGAACTAATATGACTGTGACATACAACTTTCCGGTTGGTGAAACCGTGGTGACACTAACTGTTGTCGACAATAGTGACGACGTGTCAAGCAATGATGTCAAAGTTATTGTTCTGCCGTCAGGAAACCAAGGTGCATACTTGTATTTCTACGATCTATCAGCATCAGCTATAAACACTGATAAGATTCCTGAGATTCCAGCGGCTGAGTACGGATTGTCTGTTGAAGAGATTGATTTCAAAACTGCAGACGACTTTCCGGAGGACGTTTCATTCTTATCTGAGGGCCCGTTCGCTATTCGAGCTGTCTCAGAGTACTGGGCCGTTTTGGATGACGACTACGTATTTTTCGTGGCTCACGGCGGCGGAGCTGTCGAACTTTTAATTGACGGCAAGAAAGTTTTGGGAAAGTTGAAGACGGGAACAAAGGAAACGCTTTCCGTTACCAAACCGTTCCCCCTTCAGAAAGGGAAACACAGGTTGGATCTTGTTTATTACACATCGGATCCCGCGACGGCACAACTGACTTTAGGGATCAATCTCAACGGTGGAGTTCAAGTGGTGTCCAACTCTTTCCTCAGCTATGAATCCGGCGACGTCTTACCTACTCTTCACACGGTCAGTCCGGAAAAGTCAACTCTTGGGGGCGGAGGTAAAATGATACTTTCCGGAGCTGGTTTTACGAGTGACTCCAGAGTTCAAATCGGACTGCAAGAGGTAGACGAAGTCTATGTCAAAAGCGACAGCCTCATCGAAATCCGTGTCCCTGCTGCAGATGCCCCGGCGGACGTTTTGGTCCAGGTGAAGACCTCTCGCGGAATCAGTAATTCAAAGCATTTCTCATACACAAAGGCGGCCCCAATGCCGATCAAGTTTAAGGAAACGTATGTCAAGAACAAAGACGGTTCAAACTTTGAATCAAAACAATTCACATCTGTGGCAATAGGGCCAGATCTGCAGTATTACTTTGGTTCCTTGGATACTCATGTGCATGTTTTGACGGTTGGCCACTACTCAATGGTTGTACAGAAATCTTGCAAATCAGAAAGCGTTGGTTCCGGCAGGTCCATCACAGCTGTTTCCTTCAACCCGGGAGAAAGGAACATTCGGGTATATATTTCGACGAATACATTCTATTGGAGGAATTGGAACCTCATGTCTGATGAAGACGGGTGGCATAATGGCAAAATTGAAGCGTTGGTCCCTGTTTCTTCTGATGATGATCCAGATGTGTGCCTGAAACACGAAAAAGATGTTGTAACAGGTTTACCTGTGTCAAATCATGATCATGGCGTCAACAGTTTAGTCTGGGATAACGACGGTAACTTGTACGCACAAGTTGGTGGTACAACGAATGCCGGGTATTCCACACCAGACGATCTGGTCGGTGGTGTTCCAGAATCCGTTCTAAGTGCAGCTACAGTTATAATCTACGTGCGAGCCGCGGGTTTCGATGGAAGAGTAACGTATGATCAGTACAAAGACCCTGGGACGGCCAAACAAACGTCTCCGACAAAATTCGTGGAGGGCTTTGGCTTTGGATTTAGAAATTCTTATGGTTCTGTGTTCCACTCCAATGGCCATATTTATGCCACGGATAACGGCCCTAATAATGGGTATGGTAAGAAGTCAGTTACTTGCAACGAAGAAAGTGATGATCCATGGCATCCAGACACACTAGTGCTTGTACACAAGGATTCTTACTTTGGATTCCCAAACAGGGCTCGCGGCACAGTTGGAGACATAAGACAATGTGTTTACTATGACCCGCGCGAAACCAGTCGAAATGGATTCACAGCTGCGCTGGCAACCTTTGAGGCATCCACTAATGGAATCATTGAATACACCGCCAACTCATTCGAAGGTCAATTGAAGGGAGATCTGCTTGCATCAAAATACGCTGTGGGTGGAAGCGGAAAGCTATACCGGATCTCTCTGGATGCTACAGGCATGGCAGTCATTGGGGATGTTGAAGAGCTGGCGAAATATTCTGCGCTGAGCATCGCAATGAATCCTTTTGGAAACTTGATAATGCCCCGAGTGCAACAACCGAACATCGCAGTGTTGGAGCCGGATGAAGGTACATACGAAGGACCAGAACCTCAGATTATAGCAGTGTTTCCGAATAGAGGCCCAATGGCAGGTGGCAATCAGATTTCTATCACTGGACGCTTCCTCGAGGAAGGAGCAAAAGTTACCTTTGGTGATTTACCGGCTGAAGTTTCAAGAGTAAGTTCACGCAATGATTGGCTTCTTTGCAAGGTGCCGCCGGGAAGCGGATCTGTGAAAGTAGTTGTCATGACTAGCATGGGAAATACTACCGCTGTGCAGGAAGATTACCACTATCTTAATTACTAGACAGAAACATAGAGAATTTTCCCGCTTCGTAACTACTTTTGCACAGCTTTAAACCATCCCTAAAGACGGGAGCAATCCTGTGATATTCGTCGAGCAACCGTTGCGATGTTGTTCTTGTCCTTTCAAGGGAGAATACGAGTGAAATTATGTTCCTGCTGCTAGCCGCTGTCTGGATGCCATCGCAGGCTGGCTCCGAAAAGCGTCAGAGATTTGCAATAATCATTTTCTCAAAGGCCGGTATTGTCTCTCATGATGGCATGGAACGGTTGCAGGGCATCCGCAAGGTTGGTATCTTCTTGCTGGGTTCTAGACGTTTAACTCAGCACAATGCACTGCAGCCCGTGTCGTATGGAGCATATTTGCGGCCCAAGTATGGAAATAAAATTATCCGAGGGTGTCACCTATCTCTTGCTCTCAAAAGCCTCCTCATGTGTACAATCCCTAATGCTTAGTATCGTAAGCACTTTACGCGAAGTGAACATATGATGGAATGGATGACAATTGACCTCACCAAGGCGTCAACTCCAACCACTCTGTGGTTGATGTAGCCTCGTACGAGAGCTACGGCTTATCGTCATTGGTAAGGGCTGCAAAATCAAGCTGATCTGGCTGATGCACAAAGTTGATGTAGAAATGAAGACCACATGCATGAAGAGATCAAACGCCATGACCATAATAGAGCGGCACTAGGTTACAAGTGTAGTACAACGCTTCCACCGAAGGGGAATTTCCTACGCGGCTCGTGGAACACAAGCGATATATTAGAGCGCAGCACACCGAAAACGTTATACGATGGCTTTGACCTTGGGATTCAACCTCGAACAGTGAACATATGGAGCTTCGCGTTCGCCTTTGGACTTGGAGGTCGCTCGGCTAATCGACTGGCGGTTGACGAGGCATGATTCCGTGCATCTCCATATACTGCAAGAATTGCCTTGGGATTTCTTCAAGAACCTGGGCTTGCAGCACTTCCCGCATATCCTTGAATTGTCGAAAGTTAACAAACTGTACAATATCCCGATCCAAGTTTCGGTCATCGCCATCCAGTCGCTCCATATCTGTGAAGTCGGCGTTTCCGACGCCAATGATGACAATTGACAGAGGCAGGAATGCCGCTTTCGCGATCTCGTCCAAGGTATTGTCCAAATCATTGATGATGCCATCCGTGACGATGAGAAGAATGGTATACGACTGTTCGTGCCGTGAAAGCTCAGCTTGAGCGTGCGCCGCGGCGGCGCGAACGATCTCAGCGAAGACAGTCGGTCCGGAAAGACGGATGTTGTAAAGAGTTTGTCTGTACATGTTCAGGACTTCATCAATCTTGTGACATGTAGGATCGGCGCTGTCGGTAAGGGAGAAGATGTGGCGAGGTTCTTGAAAGTCAGGTGGTAGTTTTGCCCCAAAGCCGTAAGCCGGAAATCGTTCATCTGTGTCGTAGTAGGCTAGAATATCACCGACAGCACGGATAGCCAGTTCGTACTCATTTGGTTGCATTGTATCCCAATAATGCAAGGTTCCCTGCTGCAAGGGATCTCCGTTGCTGGAGGTGAAATCGATGCCAACAACCAGAGAAATCTCACAACCTCCGACAATATAGTCTAAGAAAGTGTTGTCTTCTAGGATGACTCCGTTTTGCAGCAAAAGCTGGCCATTTGGTGATCCTGCCGTCGCGCATGTCACCGCTTTAGCGGAGACGAGGTCGATAACGTCCGCGGCCTCTCTCGCCTGCTTCAAACTGACGGTAGAGGTCGCAATGACTTTGTGCTTGCCGCGTTTTTCATAACTGACGTCGAATCGCAGCGGAAGGTTCTCATCGCAATGGCACAACTTTTGGTAGTTGTGGTTAAGCTTGCCAAGGTCATAGCATTTTCTTGGGTGAGTAGTGAGCTTTCCCGGGGCGGGTGTGCGGAGAATGGGGATCCATTTGTCATCTGTACCTCCCTCTGCTCTGTGTCTGCGAGAAATTGTGACGTAGGGACCTTTGGCGCGGGAGAAGGGGATTGTTTTTCTTAAGTTTTGAATAGACATGTCGTAGAGAACGCGCTGTTTGCCCATTGTGACTTCCTCGACTATGAGAGTGCAAAAGCCATTTCTTTGATTGGGGTTGGAGCTTGTCTTGAGCGGTAGAGTTAGTTTCTGACTTGGGGCACGGACGAGGGAAGGGACCGCTACCTCGATGGAGCCGAGGTAGTCATGACGATGAAGGTCTTCATCGCGTTCTGAGCGTGCATCGCTGTCAAAGACGTCGACGGCGAGCTTCTGATTGCGCTCGAAAAAGTAAGGGATTTCGAAGGAGGTGGCGAAAGCGACGTTGAGGGTATCGGTAACAGTCTCTGTGCGGCCGACTTTCTCCCAGCGCGAGTCGCGTGGGGTGTAGGCGCCGTGTGCGGAACCGGCGGCCAGGACAGCGGGGGCTGAAGGAACGATTTCGTGGAGCGAGAGGATGGAATGAGAGGGGGGTCCAGATTCGTCGTTGGTGTCGCGTGAGGAGTTGTGGCGGGCGGGGGAGTTGTCTGCCGCGCCGGTCTTGTTGTGGAAGAGAATGGCGAAAGGGTCGGAGAGACTGAAGATGTCCATGTTGCGCAGTTGCGAGCATTCTATGTGGACTGAGAGACGGGACTCGCACAGGTCGACGAGCATGATGGTTCGGAGGGGTGGGGGAGGGGGGAAGGGTAGTCGGTGGCGCGAGGGGGCTGGCGAGGGGGTGGGTGAGAGGGGAAGAGAGAGGGGAGGGGAAGGGGGAGAGGGAGGGGGGAAGAGTAAATACTGTATGGAGATGGAAGGGCAACAGTGCCGCTGGGGGTGAAATATTGTATCTGGGGGGGAGGAGCTTGTTGATTGGGTGGTGAGGTAGTGAGCAGGTATGAGCAAATATGCAGCGAAAATATTTGAATTACTTGATCTCACCCTCTTTCGCTCTCCCTCGCTGTGCTATAGCCGTCAGGCGTGACTCGCCAGCAGCGTCGTCTGCTTTTCGAAGCAATGTTCACAATGCAACTGTACCCGCTGTGTCATACGAAGTACGGTAGAAATCTGAAGTCCAGGGTATTTAAAAACAGATTTTCGAACTGTCCCCGTCGCAAATTTGCCCTCTCCCGCAGCACCAGCTTTGCCACCGAGGTTTTCATTTCTGTCGCTGTCCGCCTACCGACCGCTTCTACCCCTACGTTTCTACTCTTCAATAATCCCTCTAATTCCCCCCCCCCCCCCCCACTGAACTCTCTTGCTCTCTCAGCTTCACACGCAAGTCGAGCAATTACTACTTATATACTACCCTTCAAGGGTAAACACTATTCCCTTACACAAAATAGAAAAAGGCAACTTCTTATCCATCCAATTCCCTTTAACTGGATGAGTCTGACACCAAGTACCAGTCATATTTTCACACCGCCGCCCCCCCTCCCCATCACAAATCCTCCTGAGTTTCGCTCGCATCGAATTCACCGAAACATTCCACTGTCTACGCAAGCACGGTGTTCTATCTCTTCGGAAATACATGGCTGAACCCCCGAGAATCCATCCATCCATCTTTCTTTCATCTTGATCGGGAGTCGCACTTATTTACAGTACAGGGGGGGTCGCGATATAGTGCCATCTTTTTTAGTGCCAGCTCCGATATAGTGCTACCCTTCTAGGGGTGGCACGAATTTTGAGCCAAAAACGAAGGGTCTCCAGAGAGGCAAGGCAGTTGGATGGACGTACTGCCCGAGAGCCGCTGCCGCCGCGGAAAGATATTATGCAGTTGCTTACTAGAATAGAGACTGGCGGAAAAAGGCAGGGTCGATGATGCAATTGGACATCTGCAAAAGTGTAGGCTGGCATTTATGGCTGCGAAAAAGGAGGGAGTCAATGCGACGGCTCGGCAGCTACTAATAACATAAATGCTTGATTAGACTTGAGTCTGTAGTGAAGATGCAAAGTATGAGTGATGGCGTCCTGCGAGCGGTCTTTCTGAGCAGTGATGCGCAAGGGAGTGGCTGCAAAAAAGCCGTAAATCTCATTATCTTATAGTGCATGGTTCGATATAGTGCCGTTTTCGGCCCACTGACACAGGGTAGCACTATATCGCGACCCCCCCCCCCCTGTACTGTTGACAGTATGACGAGTCGGATGTGAAGGCATCTGTTGATGTCAACAGATGCCTTCACATTCGACTCGTCATTCGACTCGTCATTCGACTCGTCATTCAACTCAGTCTCTTCGTGCAGGCCCCCCATGTTTCGGCATCCGCACAGATGCGCTTACTTTACTGTACGTATATCATCTCCATTACGCCTCCGATCTAAAACGTATGTTCCATCAGATGTTAAGCACATTCAAAGTCAAAGTCCCCGATGCCCCAAAATACCGCCCTAAAGCATAAAAACATAATTTCTCCGTTCCTAAGGAGACAGTCAAATCTTACCTAAGTCTCACATCGTCCCATCTACCGTCTCTAACCTCGTATCCGTTCCGCCTGCCTTGGCCTCAGCTGTACCTCTCATGCGCGGACTTTCATAAACAACGTGGTCCTCACCCTCGTCACCCACCTCATCTACTCTCACTATATCTCCGTCAAAATGACCCAGATCCCGACCGTATGCGTCCCTCTCGATGTATGGCGCATCTCCATCTACCCACAGGTCCGCGTCAAGCGTCGTCTGCCTTCGAATCCCTGCAAAACCAAGCAACAATACCGTCAACAACGCACCGACCACTGCAGCGAGTGGCACCCACCATGAAGCAGATTCTCCAAAAATACGAGGTCGCAAATCCCTGCACTGCCCCCGTTTAACACCAAACGTCCGTGCGTGAAGCGATGGCACTAACGATGTTACTTGCAGTCCCGATTGCGTCTCACCACTTGCACGCGTCCCATCCCCGCCGATTCTTGAAGAAACTGAACGCTCCGCATAAGCATGTTTTGGCAAATCCACTGAGAAAGCCTTTGTGTTCACATATTCGATCGCTGACGCCGCCCTGCAAAACACTTCGGCATACTCTGGGAATAACGCACCAGTTGCCCTAACATCCTGCCGCACGCTAAAACAGCTTTTGTTTCCCGTTGATAGGTCTGCTGCTGCCATCCCCGTTATAAGGTCTCCTGCTCCTTCACCATCATGCGCAACGTCATACTCATCATCGGCTTTCGCAACCATGGTTTTTGTCAGCACAAAACCATGAGATGCCAAATTACCTGTTTCCAGCTCAACTTCTCCATCCGTCTGCACTGGTTCTCGACCAAGAGATTCTCGCAGAGTGAGCACACCACTGCTTTTGACGTAGTCCCCAAATTCACCTAGCACGAAGATTACTCTTTTCTGACCACTCTCTGCAAACACATCGTCACACCACTCCATCGTCGCATGTTCTCCAGCAAGACTTAATCCTTGTTCCTTAGAACACAACGTCGCGACACGCACTGCTCCAACATCGCTTACATTGACACTCGCAACTTCTCCGCAACCAGAACTGCGGGCAAGCACCCGCGCGATCATTGGCATAACCAATTCATGCAGTTCTAGTAGTGCTTCATTGACACCTCCGTCTTGCTGAAGGACACGCTGTTCTTTTGGCAGTAATCGCATTCGAGTAGTTCCTTGCGCATGAAGTTGCCTTGCATGAGCGGCAAGCATCCCGAGAGTTGTCGTCATTTCCTCGGTCATATCGAATCGTTCCGATGGAGGAGTATGCTGCACTGCGAAATAAACCATCCTGCATAAACCGTAAAACGTTCCAACTCCTCCCATCGCGTCATGTCCTACCGGAATTGATGCGTACGATTTTGCAATCAGCATGTAATCTCTTGCCAATGCGGTGTTGGGCTGACTCTTCCGAAACATGTCCGCAAGCCTTACAATGTTTGAATCCACTAGCATTGAAATAGCCTCAGCGATCTGCGTGTTATTCAGATTAACTTCAACTGCGTACTGTGCCAATTGAACGCTCTCGATTTCAAACGCACTGTGATCTCCAAGGTCGAAGCTTCCTTCAAGAGCTTCGGTCTGGGCCTCAATCTTCGATCCGTGCTGTTTCGCTGGGATTATGTCTAGGGTCTGAACTTCCTTTGCTTCATCAATCACGTACTTGCCTCGAGCATCGACCATGACGCACCGCAAAGTATGCCTACCAACCATTGGAAGACGGAAAGAAACTTTGTGCTGCCCGGAACACCCATCAATGCATATATCTGAACCATCACTCATCCTGATGTAGAAATGATATCTGAACATGTAGTCGTCAATGGACGACACTGCAACAGCTGTAAACATTGTTTCTGTGGTGCCTGAGGTATGCGACAGCGGCAAGAATGAAACGGTTGGCTTTGGCATTGTGCGGACAGTCACTTGAACTGGATTCGGGCTGTCTGCATCCCGAGATTCAAATAAGACCTCAAACTTGTACGTAGTGTCGGGCTCTAGTGTGCCTTTGTTTATGCCCAGTGCATGCCTTCCCGCGAGCATTGCATCTGGTCCATAGAAGCCAGGCAAGGTAATTAGATTTTCGGGATTACTGAGCAACGTGAAAGTTTCTTCAGCTGGTTCGAGTAAACGAAAGCGCCATGAGGTGTGTGATGGGGGTCTTGGTGACAGCACCAAGGTATCATAGTAGGGAAGGTGGTGGAGAGGTAAGGGCCGCCCATCCAACGTTGTAACGGAAATGAATCCTTTTGAAGCCAAAGTTTCTTCCGTCGACAGCAGCTCAACGATCTGCGAGATTTGAGGAGATGATCTAACGCCCAAACCTTCGTGCTCTTTTCGCACTATCAGAGAATAACGGACAAATGTTGTTGTGTTGAGAAATCGGCTAGATTTGAGTGCCTCGACAGCAACGTTGAAGGATTTCTGGTCTCTGCGGGGGAGCAGCTGTTCTGGGCATGGCGCAACCGTCAGAAATTGTTCCCCTCCTCCTATCGATAGTTCACATTTCCAGTCATACGTGAAATCATCAAAACTCGTAGCTGATGCGTCATCTGGGTCGTATGAGCGTTCTGCTGTCACATGCAAATCCGAAGAGCCGGAACTCTGGATTTGACTCTCTCCATTTCCAATTACAGGTCGCAATTCGGCAGGTTCAACATTCAACCAAGTTGATGCAGTCCCGTATATGCTTGGATCATCGGAGTAGTAAACCCTGACCGTGACTCTATGTTTCCCGTAATCCAAGGTACTGCTCGGGATCATGTATTCGCGGCCAAATCTCCGCGGACTGGGGATGCTTAGAGCTACTTCTTCACTTCTCGCCGATAACGTTTTCGTGATTGCGAGGAAAGTCCAGTCGTAAGAAAGTTTGTTGTTTCGCCCAAAGCATGTCCCATGTTCGGTTACTGATGCAGATACCCTTGCATCGACAGGGGGCAAAGCAATCGTCCTCGTCTGATCGATTGTGAGGCCAACAGCAATAACTTTGGCTTTCGTTAATTGTATCTTGACTGAACGTGATAGTTGAGTCTTATACTTCGTATCGGAAACGAGTAGGATTGCTTCATACGTCTCACGAGTGGAAAACAGTGAGAGCGGTACTGAGAATGACCGTGCTTTTGTTGATCCCACCGCTTTGGCAACCTCTCTTCGCGTAGATGACACAACAATTCGCCAATCGTACGAGAGGGTATCCAAGGCAGCACCACTATTCATATTCGCAAACATGGATATAGTCGAACCCGCAGACGCATTCTTCCCTAATCCACACAGCGGCACCATGTGAGTGTCATTTTTCCTTTCGTACGACCCGCCTGTGAAGTCTATGGACAAATCTGTAAGAGATTCATACATAAAGCTGACTTCGTTTGAGCGAACGCCTTGAACGATGACGTAGCATCCAATCTCATAATGCCGAGACTGGACGACGTTTTTGGGGGGCATTCTGAATATGATGGCTGTTCGTGTTACCGAAATAATGAATTCCATCGCCACAACGTAAGATCCCAACACAAGTCTGTCCCCGCTTCCATTGCTTAACGTAAGGTTTCCAAATTGACCCTTGCAGGTTACCGTCGTTCCACCAGCAGTTGGTCCAAAGGATGGGCTCATAGATGTTATTGAGATGTCGTTATCAACGTAGTTGAAGACGAACCTTGGATCGGCTCCAGCCCATGGAAGGGAAACCCTGTCCGCAGAACCTCCAATTGAATAGCTCAGATCCCATGGGACTTTCTTGCCTTCGCCTGGCGGAGTAACACATGTTAGAACCGTCCATCCCTCGGGTGATGACTTCACAGCAAGCGGGCTGGACAAGTTTCCTCCTACCTTGAGCAAGTATTTTGCATTGGCAATAAAATTGAAGACCACGAATGCAATAAGCTGACCTCCGGCTCTTTGAAACGGACCTGGGTTGTTGACTGCGATAACAGAGGGAAAAGAATTCCCAGAGACTTTGATCGTCAAGCTTGTTTCGAAAATGTCTCCTGCGAATTGTCCCTTCAAAAAGTCATCCCACTGAAAGTGAAATGTAATCGTTCCCGTTCGATATTGCAAAAGTCTGACTCCGAAGTAAGGGCCTTGTGATTCATTCCACTGAGTGAAACCGAAACTGCAAAAGTCGTCTAGAATGATTCTGCTATTCTCTGCCCTGTACGTATGGTTGGTTAGACACGAAGCAAAATTGTGCGGTGCGAGGGGCCCCTGACCGTCAATTGTTGTGACCATTGTGGATATATCAGGCAACACATTTCCATCAACAAGCGGCTTCGCAGTCGATTGTCCATCTGGAAATTGAATAAAAGCAAGAAAAGTCTCAATACCGTTCATACGGGCGACATTCTCTACCGTTGTTGCGTATTCGTTCCCTTCTAGAATAATCTTCTTATGGCTTTCTGCGTCAACATGGTAGAAAGTAATACCGCAGATCGTGTAGTGCACGGTGACGCTTGAGTAGATCGTGTTGTCTTCCTTCTTGAAAATGAAGGAGACCTCCGTTTCTCCGACTGACCGCTCAAATGCGATGTTTGCCGTAAAATTCACGCGATTATTCTGCATAAGAACAGGCGGACCTAGTAGCACTTCCTCCTTCTGTAGAACGGCAGAATTCGAGCAGAGCGTTTCAACGCGGTAACTGCTTAGGTTGTGCCCCACTTCCGGAAGAAATGAGAAAGAAAATATTGCGTCCACCTCTCCGACTTCCATGATCAGAGTATTTGAGAGCTCATCAAGAGGAACGATTGGCGCCGCCAAGTCGACCGTGCTAATGACCTCTTTCTCCGTTGATGGAAGCCTGTCCATGTCGGACACCTGCCATGGAAGTGAAACCGGGAGCACGTGTACTGAATGCGGGCCTGTCTCAAAGCTAGCCAAAGACACCGTTCCATGAATCGAGAACAGGACAATGAGCAAAACGCTTCGCATTCCAGGGAGAAATGCACAGTGCTTCGTAATCGACCTCCGTGATTCCCTTCGCGCCATCGCAGGCAATTTGGTTATGCTAAGCCCAGCTCAGAATCTCCTAGGTTGCTTAGTCGGCCCTCATGTCGTATTTTCAGTGAAGGAAGTGGGTGAATTCTCAACACGAAACGTCTTGGAGCTCGCGTATCGCACTGCGCAATGCTCTGAGAAGGGGTTCGACAAATATAAGACGCCGGAAAGACAAAAGGGGAAGGCTAAACAGTAAGCAGATTGAATAGTGAAGAGAGTTGTATCCGGGATATAGAGAAGATGACCCCTTCGGTATCGCCATTCGTGCAGTACTGCATCTGCATTTCAATCTGGCCATCTTGGAGAATTTAGTCGAAAAGGCAGTCGGCGCTCGTGACGGACCAAGGGTAGGTTAAAGGCTTGCATAGATGTGCAGTGCATTGGTGCACTCATAATGTGAATGTGCATTCGATGCATTGAGTCGAGAAGACGGATAACACGGCACGTCGCTTTCGCCTGGAGCGGCAGCAGCCCAAAACAAGCATATAGAAGAACACAAATACGACGGAATGCAAGGCGTGGTACACGCTGAGGAATGCAGTTTTCATTGTTTTGAATCGCCCATCTTCTCGAGGCAGAATTTTGAAGGCGAGAAAAATGATTATTTCGGTCTCCCGTACCAGGTCAATGACCAGAGATGAACGAGAAGATAACCAACTTTTAGAAGGCTAAAAGCCTCTTCATGAAATACCCGGGCGGGCTTTGGGCTATCTTCCTGCGGATATTGCCATGTGACGTGGCGCGGATGTCCACAGACGTACTACTGAAATGCACCAGTTCTTAAATCTCTTCTGTTGCAAGCAGGCAGCGCGGGTCGCCGTAGAAAACGCATCCGTTTGGAGAGCTCGACAGAGTTTGTGCCTGATAGCAAGTCTCTCCATGCAGTACGTGCCGCGCACTGCAGCATCCGACGACGTAGTGTATGGTCAGCGGGGTATATTGAGGTTAAGCGATGAAAGCGCGGCGAGACACGAACGGTGTTCCGCATGGGAATTCCGAATGTGAGAAAGCGGCAGGATGGAATGTTTCAGGACGCAGCTTGGTCCCTGTTCAGGTCATCGAGCACGGCCTGCAACACGTCCGTGGCGGCAATACGCGCCTTACTATCCAAGCCCTGCTCCAGCTGCTCGCGTGGGACCTTGGGGTTCATGGCAGCGTCAAATCTGTGGAGCTTCCTAGTCTCCAGGCGGACCGGGAGTTCGGCCAGGGCGTCGAGAAAGTCAGAGTGGGCGCGGAGCGCTGCGCTCAAGGCGTGTGCCTCCGAGTAGAACAGCACGGCCTGCAGGTCGGGGAGCAGGGCCTCCTCCTGGAGCAGCTCGGCCAGATACGGGACGAGGGTGCTTGCGGAAGACTCCGACGCCGGCGGCAGGCCGACGACCAACGCGTGCACGTCGAGCGCGGCCGGCGGGTCGGACACCGCCTCGGCGTGCGCGAGCGCGTGCGAGAGAATCAGCGCGTCCGCAGACGGCTTCGAGGTGCGCGCGAGCATCCCAAAAGGGAAGGCCGTGTCGCGCAGCCTGTTGGAGATTGCAAGCGACACGTGAGTCGGGGTTATGTCTAGAGAGGCCAGGCGCGAGTTCGGCGTTAGCGTGTGCCGCAGGGACGGCAGGGAGCGGTGCACGAGCTGCTGCAGCGGGGCGCGAGAGGCGGAGACGGCAGCCGCGGACATGGCGGGGGAAGGGGATGGATCGGGGAGGACGGTTGGGGATAGGTGTGGGCGACGGGGATGCGGGGTTGTTCCGGTTGCCGTTGACCGTGAATTGGAGCTTGCATTGGGATGTTGACAACTACGCAATGCTGACTACATCGGGAATGCGGGTCCGGATCTGGCTGATCTCCAAGCTAGCTCCAGATCTATGATACATTCCTGCAAGGGATCCTGAAGCGTTTCTCTGTTGCGAAGGTATGATAGGCTGGAGCCTTCTTGCGGCGTACCCGTGTACACGTACAATACCTCACCGGAACACGAATGGCACGTGGACACGTCCTCCAGCAATAGAGTGTCTTTTGGCCGTTTCCGTGCCATGCACCTTCGGTGTAGTGGCGTGCCGTGGCACTACGTGTCCGGCGCTTGGGAAACGGCGGGAAACTGGCACGATTTTGTAGAAATTAGCAACCTTCGTATGCACTTCAGTGCATTACTGTAAAGGTTGATGCGCTTGCCTGTTTTTTCTCCCTTTAAATTCAAGGCCCTCTCTCGAATGGGAGGAGGAAAGAGACAGACAGAGAGAGTAGTGTTCTACGTCCCGCTGGTGTGGAGTGGCTCGATCACACGAGCTCCTACGATCGCGAGACGTCAACTCGGTCGAAGGGTTGACGAACATTTTAAATTCTCTTTCTGTTTTGCGTATTTCTGTAAAATACCACAGCTTTACAAGAGCACATTCCACCGTTCCTCTGTCAAATACAACGTGTACAACTGTTTACAGGTTTACATGAACCTCCACCCCTCTCGCTTTATGCGCACGTGCGCAGTACTGTACCGAATATAGAACACCGCCCCTCCCCCTGCACAGCACAGATACAACGATGCAGACGGCAAGAGTGGATCGAGTGGCTCAGGAGGAATGTGGTGTCGGATCGCCGCGTGGCGCGCTGTCCTGCGCTTGTGCTCGCCCTCCCCAAACTTTCAAACCCTTCACTTGCCGGGAACGCGTGATTGATTCGAAGACAAGTCGCCTGTAATCGCTGTAACGGTCCACTCGCTTCGCGCTGCCACGCTTCTCCATGCTCAAGTGCAAGAGATGACCGCTTGGCCGCCCTTCCGCCTTCCGTATAATCGCATCCATCGCAGCGATGCAACGTCAATCATCTAAGATGATGCATTGCACAGTGCTAACTAGCATGCAACTTCACACACGGCTTTTGAAAATTTTATACTTCTCGACACTAGTGTACTGGGTAAGATCCAGACGCCGTTCTTCCCGCAGATTGCGCATAATATAAACAAACAACACTTAAAACAGGGCGCAATACAAATGTTTCTCCCAACCAAACCATTGGTTTCCGGGATGAACCCTACTACCTCCCCTCCTACTTGCATGGCGAATTTGGCAAGCCATTCATCTTAGAGCGGATGAAGGGAGAGTTCCGATTGCAATTGTCGCCGTCACACTTGATCAACACCAGCTTGTACACCCAGAATTTGGTCGAGCGACCAGAGATGCACAGACTGTACGCCGGGCCTGCAGCCACGTTCTTCGTTTGGAACTGGTGGCCATCGTTATCAATAGTAAGCAAGTAGTCCGCCATTTGCATGCCACCACGGTTCTGATAACCCTTGTACCAGCTGGAGCCGCCGCTTTTGAAGGCGCCCTTCGACGTATGCACGAGATCAAAACCAGAAGAGATCCTGACCCACATGTCATTGTGCTCAGTCGGATGCGGTGCCTTAGTCAATGCAGTGAAGTAATACTTACCCGGGGACGGGAACATGACTTTGACACACATGGTACCAGATCCTTCGGCGTCGACACTCCCCTGAGGATCGCCCTTCCTGTAGATGATGGCACCCGCCTCCTTAGTCCAGCCATTGCCCGCCGAGAGGCCCGTGCTCGGAATAACAATCTTATTTCCAGAAGTACCCCGGTACGCGCAGCCAGCCCTGGGTGCCGATCTCTGATTGTTGCGGCTGCCACTTCCGCTTCTGCGCCTATTCTTCCGACCACTACGCTTCCTGCCCCTACCCTTGCCCTTGCCCTTGCCCCTGCCGCGTCCAGAGCTGCGGCCCGGTCGTGCAGCAGGCGGCTTCTTGCCGCGGAAGCAGTTCTTGGAAATGGCGTGCATGCGGCAAACGGGGACATTCGTCCTGCGGCCCTTCTGGTAGCAGTATAAGCACGCGTGTTTCTTGCACTTGCGCGACTGCTGCGACATCCAACGGCCGGTCTTGCACCCGCCAGATGTGCGCGCGGCCTTACCGCTGCAGCGCGGTCCGCGCGCGCAGCACTCCGCCGCCGAGTAGTTGTTCAACATTGCGGAGGTCAGGGTGAGGACGGAAAGGAGGACGACGGGGATGAGGAGGGAGCGAGTCATGGTTGAGCTGGGGGGGTTGAAGCGAAACCGGAAGGAATGATGCGGGTGTGGGCAGCGAACGTGGATGCGTGCGGCCGCGGATTTAAATAGCATGCGCAGACTGGAGGCGGCGGCGCAGCAGTGTGCCAACTTCCAGTGTGGGTAGCAATCGGGGAAGCAGTGGCGGAGATTGGCAGCGGCGGTGCGAAGGGTTCGAGGCGCGGAAGGGGCGAGGGCGCGGGACGTGGCGGCCCGGCCCGGGGCCCTTGGACGACGCGCGCCTTCACGGCGCGCGGCACCGGGCGCGCGCGCGGCTATGCACGAAGCTGGTGG